ATATATTTAATACTATTTTATAATAAAATGTTTACATGTTAAAAACTCCAACTGAACTATAAGCTTAAGAAAAAACTTTTTCTCATTCATCTTTGAATTCCCAGGCTTACAGCTGAGCACTCGCACAAATGAGTTGATAAATGAATACTTACTGAATGAATAAATGGAAGAAAAATAGTTTTAAAGGTTTTGTTGAAGAGTAAGTTCTACAACCACATATGGCTATTCATTCAAACTAGGGAATTTACAATGTTTTAATCAGGAAAATTAAACATAGTCTTGAATCATAAATAAAATACAAGTACTAAGACATACAATAGTCCATTATACTAAAACGTGGATGGTATAGGAAATGATGCCTTTAGTGACTGATAACAGAGTAACTGGCTCAAAAGAATTTTATATGGCAGTTGGTTCAGAAGATATGAATATAGAACATTATTTTTTATCTGATTAGTATATTTATAGCATTTATATTCTCAGTCAAAAATTAAGCTGCATGGACTAGCAATTAGAATAGAAAATTTGAAGAGGCAAGTGACTGGGCATCCTCCATCTGAAACCAACCAGACAACCAAAAATCTAATGATGAAGCCAAGGAACAGACTTCTCCCTTTAAGCACATCCTTGGGAGACTGGCATGGTAGGCCACTGTAGCTTGATAACATTTAGCCCACTAAAAATAACAGAGTACTTTAAAACAACTTTATGTGCATTGAAAATGCAGTCAGATTTATTGCTTTTTCTAGACACCATTATAAGCATTAACTTGTTTTTAACTGTTTTTGGATGTAAGAATAATGTGTCTTTAAATACTGGCTCATGCTGAGAATGGGTCAGGTACTAGCTGAGTGGTTTCTGTGATCTGTGAGGGCTCTTGAACATGTGGTTACTGTGAGTGAGTCCCCCAGAACCCTACAACTGTGAGTTAAATGAAACAACTGAACTTCTTTGGAATTGAGGGCTATCACGACCCTCAATAAATTATGGGATTATTTTGCTGCTCCATTTCCTTTTACTCTTAAAAAAAAAAACTATTTGTCTACTTGTGCACTGATGTCTTATGCAATTACCACCATACTTAGAGAAAACTTATTAACAAAAGGAAGGTTCTTCTAAAACTGCAACAAAACTCCTAGGAAATATTTACAACAAAACTAGGTGACCAGAAATCCCCCAAACCCTGGAAGAGGGGGGTTGATGAAGACAAATTCCTGTTACCTATATGGTGTCAGAATCTTTGTGGAAGACAGGAGTAGGATGTGAAGGGGACTATGATGGGCCAGGAAATAGAAAACTCCAAAGGATGACACAGGTTTTTTACTGGAAAAGCAGAAGGTTGTTTCAGGAACAGCAGTAGACTTTGGAAAGAATTGTGCTTAATCCAATGGAGATGAATTATCAGAAGTTCTGAAGGCATCAGCATCATCTAGCCTCTGAACTCTCAACACTGATCAGCCAGGCTGCCCTTCTACACAGGGCTCCACATGGTGTGAAAACTTCTAGGACTGGGAATTGAGAAGGTTTAGGAGAACAGACAAAATTCTGCCAATTAACAGAAGGAAGGAATCAAAGCCAGGACATCTCAGAAAGCAAGCTGCCAGTGTTGATTCCTATATGAGAAAACAGATGTAGCACTGTGAAGTCAGAAAAGTTAATCTGAATGGAACTTTCATGGAGGGATGACTGTGTGACAACACACCATGTGAAAATGCACTGAGGTATGCTAATTTCCAAATGCTGACATTTAATTCTACAATGTCAAAGATTCATTTGTTAATATCAACACTGATCTCACTGGAAAAGTTGCTAAGTATTAGGAAGCTGTTAAACTGAAGCTGTTAGATACAACTTTTATATAAGAGATCAAATTTTATCAGTGACAACAAATTCTTAATATGAGAGGTAAACTTAATACATTTTTGAGAATGTGTCTACCAAGTGCTCAAGTCTGGATAACCATAGTTTGTCAGTTGTTTCTTCAAGTAAATGTGGAATTTTCTGAAAAGCAGTACTGCTTCTGACTCCCACTCTTACACAAATATAGCTAATCACCGTATTCTTTTAAAAACAATATTCAGCAGAAGTGCTTTAGATATAGAGCTCTTTACTTCACTGGAATATTAATGCGTGATTTCAGGATAGAAATTGCATAAAATTAACTTTTTTACTATTCCACAAGAGCATTCTTAAGCAAAACTGGCAATTCTGTTCCTTATTCATGACTGTCTGCAGTGAAGAACATGATTCTAGAGGAGTTTGCCGTCATTGCCTTGATTTACTCTAAGGTATGAATTGTTTTGCCCATTGTTGCTTCTGAACAGTGAGTGGAAATGCCAACTCAGTGAAAGGTTAAACTCCACCTTAGTGTTATTATGAAAATATGTGTGAACCCATGGATTATCTGAATGCATCTCAGAGGTCCTCAGGGATCTGTGGACCAAATGCTGAGAGTCACTAGGGTGGAGAAACATCAGTGAAGGCTGGTTACACTGGCGGAGAGGCTCAAGTGGTAGAGTACCTGCCTAGCAAGTGTGAGGTCCTGAGTTCAAGCCCCAGTACTGCCAAAAAAAAATGAAGGCTGATTTTGAGTATATGTGTGTGTGTGTGTATCACACACACAAACACCCATCTAAATGAAGACTAAAAGGGACAGAATACAGTATATAATGGTATATACTCTGCCAATGTAAATATTAAAAGAATGAAAGGAGGATTAGAAGAACATATGTAAACTTCCTAAAAATGTTTGAACTAATCATACTGGTATTTGTAGAACTAGTATTGTTATGAAACTATTGTGTTGGTGTCGAGGTATTGAGCAAATGATTAATCATGAGATATTCTGATCCTGTTATCTTCATTGTCATTGAGGACCAGGAATTTTTTGAAGACAGATGATAAAACTTTAATAGAGAAAAGAATACACCAAAACCATGTAGTCATAATTTTGAATTTTAAGTGTAACATAAACTTTTGATATACCTTTATGTTATGTGTATAGTATATTATACATTTGTGTCAAGTAGTTCTGTACACTGAAAAGGTAAAACAATGAATGAAACAGTAGCAACAAATATTATTGGTACTTAGATTTTGCCTTGAAATATCATTTTCCCATGAAAAGAAATCAGGATCTTTTGGAACCTGGCCAATTCCAGAGTTGGGGCAGGAAATGTATCACAAGCTTGGGAAATGTCATCATATTAACGTTATCTCAAGCTGCTAAGCATATGTGCTAAGAAGGCAACTTGAAGAGGCTTCCATTGGTCAAGGACGGAACAATATGAATTCCAATTAAACACAATAATTTCAACGCATTGACCCATCAGGTCTATTTCAGTAGAGTTCATAGTGATATTTTTAATATGTCTTTATGATAATATTTATAATAAGTAGTATGCACTTTTAAAGGATGTTAAAATTTGATTTAACTATTTAAAAAACTTTTGTAAGTAAAGGGAAAGACTAAAGCAGCATTTAACAGTATGATTCTAGCATGAGGTACCCAGAACAGGCAAATTTTTAAAGATAGACTGTAGAATGGTGATTGCCCAGAACAGGTGGAAAAGGAAATGGGAAGTTAGTTTAATGGCTACAGAATTTCAGTTTTCCAAGATAAAAAGATGGATGACAGTGGTGGTTGTGCTGCCATATGAATGCATTTAGCACCACTGAACTGTGTACTTAGAGATAGCTGAAATGATAAGTTTTATATTACGTGTACTTTCCACACAAAATGACAAAATTATAGATTAGAGTATTGCCATTTAAACTGTCAAGGAATTAATAATTTTAGGAGATGTGTTAAATTTACAAAAGAGAGATAAACATTACAAAATTCCTGGTTTAAGAGCACACGACACACTATAATCATACTGAGGAAATCAAATGTGCACTTGATCCAACCCTTAACTTACAGAAAATAATATGAAACTGCATGATAAATACACTCTAACAAAATCCATACTACTGGAAAGTACAGGGAAAATAACCACTTTTTCAACCAAAAAATTGTAGGGAAACTGCATACTAAGATATTTTTAAAAGATAGCAAATAAAGAATAGAGAAACATTAGTACAATGTCTGGGGATGTCTATTTGGGTGACAAAACATCAAAGAAAAACAAGAAAGTGATTGGTATAAAGGTCTGGGTAGTACTGGGCGCCAGTGGCTTATGCCTGTAATCCTAGCTACTTGGGAGGCTGCGATTTGGAGGATCATGGTTTGAGACCAGTCCAGGCAAACAGTCTGACTGGACAGTCTGTGAGATCTCATCTCCAAAATAACCAGAGCAATGTGGACTATAGGTTTGGCTCAAGTGGTAGAACACCTTCTTTGCAAGTAGGAAGCCCTGAGTTTAAACTCTAGTCCTACACAGCCACAAAATGTCTGGGTATTAAGACAGAAGGCATTGTGATGGTGTGATGTGTGCCAGGATCCAAGAATGCTACTAATGACCACAAGTGGAAAAAGAGACCCAAACTCTAAGGTCTGATGAAATTAAAAAGAAGTAGAAAATCATTGTGGAAAATAATGTGAAGCATTTTGTAATTTGAATAATAAGAATTCTTTCATGTTTCAACCCACAAGCAGCGTGGTCTTATAACCAATCAGATTTCTTTACCTCTTGAAATCAGCCCCAAGCCCCTCATATTTATTAATACATATTAACTGAAAATAACTTTTAAAATTTCCTGACAACTGGATTGAACTTACAAAATGAGCTAGATTTCTTTAGTTCTTCCATCTAGTAATTTAGGGAAGATTTATTGATTTATGGGAACTTCTATTTGTTCTTGCAAGGCTATTGGGGAATCATTTTATGTTCAGTAATTTGAAAAAATGCCTAACTCTCAAAAAATATTTAACACTTAAAGAATAAATGGAGTAGCCATGAATTTCCTTATTTCTTAGTTTGCTTACATGAGAATAGATTCTGGGTAACCAAGAGAGTTGAATCTTCTTTTCATGAGGGTGTCAGGCATCATTCACTTACCCTCCATGATGGTCAAAGGATCTTCCACCTTAGGGCGCAGGATGTTAGGACCAAAGACAGTTGCTAAATTCTGCACACTCATTTTGTTAATTCCTGAATAGGACTGCACTTCATCCAAGAACCTATTGGTTGAGAGAATATGATTAAAACACGATGAGATTAAAGTTCTCAGTGAAAGCAAAAAGATGATTGGAAAATTTATGAACTAGAGTACGCTCAAAATGATTACAGAGACAAAACTATCTGGAAATTCAAACTTCTCAAATATCTCTTCTGATCTGGCCTGGCTTCCTCTGTCAATTCAAGGAACAAGTGTCATTGGAAATACTAATATGCACCTGTGAGTCAAGAATATATATTTGGATAAATTTTTCCCAAAGGCTTGGTGGCACTATTAGGAGGTAGGGAACCCTTAAGAGGTGGAGCTTAGTGGGAGGTTTTCCAGTCACTGGAGGTGTGCCCTTGAACAGGAAATTTAAATCCAAGACCCTTCCTGTCTCTTTCTTTTGTGACCTGGCCACGAAGGGAATGTTGTTGCCATGTGATCCAGCATGACACTGCCTCACTACAGACCCAAAGTGACAGGGACAATTAATTACAGTCTGAAACCTTGAAACTGAGCCAAAATGAACCTTTCCTTTTTTAAAGATGACTGTAACAGGTATTTTATTATAGTAATAGAAAGCTGACTAACATACCCTCAAATTCCTCAATTAAGTATTATTTATATATATCCAGTTAGAGAGTTATATATAAAATTGTCTGGTAAAATCTCTTATTTCAGCAAGGAGGAATCACCCTCTTTGTGAGGTTCAAATTTATAGTCTATTAAAACATAGATCAAACATGGAAATTAAAACATCAGTTCTACTGATGAAAAACTGCAAGCACAGATCATTTCAATTTATTAGGTGCTAAAGAGTAAAAGACATGAAATAGCCTTTTCCCCAGATAATTTTAGAAGATTGTTTTGGTAATCTTTCAGCCTTTCTTCATTTCTACAAGAGCTATTATTTCATGGCTTACTAATTGTACTGATGAGATAAGAAGGAAATGATGAAAAATGAAAACAACACATTTATAGAGCATGTCATGGTACTATTTATTAAATTGTCAAAGCATGTCTGTGAGTGGGAACTAGTCTTACATCCATTTTACAGAGGAGAGACATGAGGTATCAGGGAGGTTAAGAATCTTTTTCAAGGATGTAGAGATAATAAGTGGCAGAGCTGAGATTTGAACACGGGCAGTGTGACTGCAGAGACTGAACTCTTAACTATAATACCGTGACTTTTTAAAAAAGCTGCCTGTTTTCACAAGTTCACTTCTCTTATATAGCTTAATGGTAAAAATGAAGGCAAGAAGTCAGACTATCATTTCTTCCCTACATTAAAAGACTGCTTAAGCTGGCACCAGTGGCTCATGGCTGTAATCTAGCTACTCAGGAGGCAGAGATATGGATGACTATGGTTTGAGGTCAGTCTGGGCAAAAAGCAAGACCCTATTTCAAATATACCCAACACCAAAAAGGGCTGGTGGAGTGGCTCAGGTGGTAGAGTGTCTGCCTGGCAAGCATGAGACCCTGAGTTCAAAACCCAGTACTGACAAAAAAAAAAAAAAGAAAAAGAAAAAAATCTGCTTAAATGCTTTAAGACAAGTATTTTTCTTGTGGAAATAAAAGCTTTCAATACTGACCTCAAACAAGCTCCTCCTCCCTTTACTTAAGGACCTTTTCCTCACTCACTACAATAACTTAAATTAGTTCAAAGTCCTAGAATGGAAGTCTTACTTAAGTATATGTTGTCAGGGAAACTATTTCTTGCTTTTCCAAAGTGGAAAACCTAAGGTTTTATTTTATTGTAAATACAGCAATCATCAGAAAAAGTTATGGTGTGAGATTTTGGAAATCCTACTCAGTTACATTGACAATGAACTTCACAGTGTCTGGTTTCTTAATCTCCATAGCTCTTAGTCAGTTGTGTGAAATATGTTTCACTTGCATTTTACCTATTAGACCCTGAAACTGAGAAAGGGTAAGAAAATTGCAGAGATGTTCTGGAAGGAGCCTGCACTTCCACATGCTCCTCAGGCCAACACTGTCACTCCCTACATAGTAAAAATGACATTGATGGAAATTCAAAGCAATATATCTTTAATATATGGAGACAAGAAAGATTTCAAGAGCACCAAATTACAAAACCAAGCAATGTTAGTATTCAAAGAAACCTCTGAGATCACCATATCAACCCCCTTAATTTTCCAGAGACTAACATTGGAGCTCAGAGCAGTTAAGTGATTTTACTGACTGTCAAGTGTAGACTATTGTCAGGCAAAATGTAATCTTGTTTTGTTTAGTTTTATGTTTAGAAAAGTTCTTACCTGCAAATATACTTGAGGAGGTTGTAATTAACCACTGGCAAACTCCTCACCTGTTTCGCTAATTCCTTAACACCCTGAGTATAAAGAAGAGAATCAATGTTACCTTTTTACATAGTAGCTTTGGCATTAAATCAAGTGGGAAATGCCCTGAAAACTTCTCACTATTACATGAGCATTTTAGAAATATTTTCAAAAATGGATGTAGAAATATTTTAAATACCTCCATAAGTACAGTCACATATTGACAATGTTTCTATCAATGACCAACCACATGTCCAATGGGTAGCCAATAGAGTATACAATTTAGTGGTGACCTTTTCCTTTCTATTTATGTAGTACACACTGCGGTCTACACAATGATGAAACTGCCTAGTAATACATTTCTCAGAGCATATCCCCAATGGTTTCCAAACCAACTGTACTATGTGAAGAAACAGATTTAAAGTGAAGTTCTTTTAATATTTTTAACATTTGTTCAAAATTTACTAAAAGTGGGAGATAGCCTCATTTGCAAGAAGATTATTTGGGAAAAAAATTACCCTTTGATGTAATAAGGTTCTTTTCCATTTTTAGAATGCCCCAAACAGACAGATGTCTATTGACAAGGAAGTCCCTTTGGGCTGCTCATGTCCAGGATACATCATTTGGGTTGGGAAGAAAATTGGAATGTCTGATCTTTTTGGAAATTTCACAAGGATTAATTTCTTTGGTTTATCTCATTGTAAACTTCCTCTAACATGTAAATGGTCACAGACAGGTGAGTTGATAATGAGTTCTTCTTTAATTGGAAAGGGCCAGATAGTAAAAATATTTTATTAGGGTTTTCAGGAGATAAAGTCTCTCTCACAACTACTCAGGTATTCTGTTGTAGCTCAAAGGAAGCCACAGACAATAGTACAGAATAAACAGAGTAAAACTGAATTTGTAAAACTATGTGGCAGTTTTTTGACATGAATGTCAAGAAAATCCAAATGTTCCTGGGACAACTGGATATCCACATGCAGAAGAATGAAATGGACCACCTTCTTCACATATAAATGAGAAAAAACTCAGAATGGATCAGAGACTTCAAAGTGAGAACTGTAGAAGTCTAGAAGAACATATAGAAGTGAAACTACCTTGAGTTAAAGATAGAATTCTTAGGTATGACACCAAAGCACAAACAATATAAGCAGGTAAAATGGACTCCATCAAAATAAAAATCTTTTGTTAAAAACTTTTCAAATAAAAAGTCTTGTTAAAAAAGTTTTTGATAAAGGACATCATCAGGAAAATGAAGAAATAACCAGTAGAAAGGGAGAAGATACTTGCAAACCATATATATGACTTGAATCAAAACCATATAAACTAAAAGAGCTCAACAATAATAACAAGACAAACACAGCTGGCCCTTTATACATCTACATATTCAACCAATTGCAGATTGAAAATATTGGAAAAATTGCAGCTGTACTGAACATGGTCACACTTTTTTCCTGTCACTCTTTCTTAAATAATACAGAAGAACAAGTATTTCCACAGCATTTACATTGTATTAGGTATTATATGTAATCCAGAGGTGACGTAAAGTATACAGGAAGATGTGCATAGGTTATATGCAAATAGCACTCCATGTGTACATGGGACTTGAGCATTCATGGATCTAGGTATCCTTTGGGAGTCCTGGAACCATCCCCGAGGGACTGCGATGACTAGAACCCAACTAAAACTGGGAAAATAATCTGAGTAAGTCACATAGCAAATAAGAACATCCAAAGATATTCTAAGCATTAGCTACCAGGAAAATGCCACTCAAACCTCAGCAACATGCATGCCACTTCACACACATGTGAATGTCTATGATAAATAAGAAAAATAAATGAATAAATAATATAAATGAATAAATCAAATATAAATATAAAAAATAAATAAGAAAAAATGTGATTTTAGTGATGTGGAGAAATTGGAACTTACACAGATTGCTGCTGAAAACTTTAAAATACTGAGCCTCTTCAGAAAACACAGTTATGAACAGCTCAGCAAGCCTGCTTTCTAGGCATACACCCAAGAGAAATGAAAACATACGTGCATGCAAAACTTGGTACATGGATGTTGTACCCATTATCTCTAATTGTCAAATAATGGAAATAAAACAAATGTCATTCAACTAATGAATGGGTGAAAATGAAATGTAATTTGGTTATAAAAGGAATAAAATACTGATATGTGGTAAAACACAAATAAACCTTGAAAAAGATGAAAGAAGCTAGCCACAAAAAGTAATATATTGAATGATTCTATTTATGTGAAATTTTCAGACTAGGCAAATCTGTAGGAAATGAAAATAGATTAGTAATTGCCAAGACTATGGAGAAAGAGGAGCATGTGGAGGAAGTCTGGGGTTTCCTTTAAGGTAATAGAAATGCTGTAAATATTCTAAAATTAGATTTTGGTGATGGTTGCACAATTCTGAGGATATACCAAAAAGCACTAAATTGTACATTTTAAATGGATGAGTGTATAGTATATAAATAATACCAGAATAAACCTGTTTTTTTTTTAAACACACAGGCAGCAGGTAGTAGAGGTCCACAGAGTATTCTTTGAAGTAATTTGGGGGCACAAATGTAAAGGGAACTAAGGAGCAAAGTACTCACATTTGCCACAGAGCGTATGGCCTAATGTGGCACCACAAGCGACCATATTCTTAGCCATATTCTTCCTTTTGATCAGAGAGGGAAATAAAGCTGGGACTTGAATTGTGTGTGGAATGTCTAAATGAATGATGTCAAAATACAAAGATAGTGGAACGCAGCCCTAAGATAGGGAAAAGGAAATTTGCAAAGACTGAAAACATGACAAAAACCCTAAAGAAAAAACTTATTTGGAAATAAATGCATGGACTTACTGCCTCCTCTTCCTTGCTGAGCAGCTTGGCACATGACAAAAAGTCTTCATACTTTGCATAAGGAATAACAGGTTCTGGAAGTTCACGAAGATACAGTTTAAGAAGTGAGGCCACTGTGTGTACGTCCGTGTTGCTGTGGAAAGAGAAGATTGAAAACATGGAGTGAAGTTTATAGTATGTTACTCATTTTTCATCAAATATATGTCTTAGAGTTAGAATTCTATCCAAGTTTGAATCAGCCAATCCAATTTTCGGGGATCATCCACTTCACGTTGCCTATCAGATGGCATTGTGGGTGAGGAGGAGAACGACACACAAAGTGCGCTTAAAACATTTGAAAGTTCAATTATTTTTCTAATGTGTGTAGGTGACAGTAAGCAAAAGTATTAACTTTGGAAAACAACAAGAATATATCAGATCTTAAATAAAATGGGGTAAAATATACAAAAACCCCCAGGTTTCTGAATCTGTATATGTGTACTCAAAATCAGAATTAAATACTTCTGAATCCTCACTTCATCTTAAATGCTAAATTCATATTTGGGGAATACATTGGTGATTGGTTGCAGATACTTGAAGCTTAGCATGACATGTTATAACTTTTTAAGCACAGGGTTTTAAAAATAATTGACTCTCAGCATGATTGCTTGTCTAATGTTCTAAAATAGTTGGGAATTCTTAGAGTTCTCTAGAAAGACAAGGGAAATGGTATGAAAATAAACAATGAAAACTTAACACAACCTTTATATAACCTGTGTAATTTATTTTTATCTTCTGCTGAATACCAGAGTGGCAGGATAATTTACAGAAACATTAATTTATATTTTATTCCTGTATCTTTCCTTCCCTGTTAATCCATGAAGACAGATGACACTAAAAACAGAAACAGTGCTTTTGGGGATGTGTATATATATTTTTTTGGGGGGGAGAAGCAGGAACTTGAAATTAATTAATTAATTACCAGGAACCAGGAAGAGTGGCAGTGAACATATATGGGTCTCAGTAAGAAGTGAGAACTTGCACCTCTCTTTGGTCTGGACTGCAGGAGGGAGAAGTCCCCTGAGAAGCTGGAAGATAGTCACTGGGATTTCCTGCCTAGTGAATACTTTATTACTCAGTGGTTGCTTAGATGTAGCTTTCAAGAAGCTATCTGAGCTGAGAGAATGGGCCTCTCAGCTCTCAATTTTGTACTCATGGGTTGATTTTGCTAGGTATGTCCTGCACATCAACTTTATATTGGGTGTTATAGAAACAGTGGCTAAGACCTCAGTAGTTAAGGAAAAAAACATTACTCTAGCCAGTTTATAATGTGCAATCCACTGGAGGCAGCAAATATTAAGTCAATAATAATACAAGTATGGGATTACAGAGTGTGGTGAGTGGTAATAAGGAAAATTGTTACATACTATCTAACAACAAGAGAGGAGTAATCAAGCAGATGGAGGGCTTCTCTGACAGGTAAGGCTGGGCCAATATCTAAGGATATGTAAAAATGGGCTAACTGAGAGCAGAAGGACAGACAAGAACATTCCCAATTTAAACAAGAAAATAAAAGACAGCACGAAGTGGGGGATGGCCTTGTGACCTAAGAACTGACAAAAGACTGGGAAGCTAAGAGCCCGTGATGGGATAAGGTTGGAGCAGGCAGCATCTTCTTCATGGATCACAGATCTACGCCTGCTTCAGAGCAACACTGAGTTTTTCCATTTTAACATTGGAGGGCTGTTGGAACAGGCTTGCTGTAAGTGATTTGACAGATGTTAAAATAGTGGGTTTGATCTAGTGAGGCTTATTTGATTAACTTCAGTTTTTCATAATTTTCTTTTGAAAATTTGAAACTGATGGACAGTATAAAAGAGGTCATCTTAAAGACTTATAAAGATAAAAGATCACACCTCTAGGACATATTGAAAACTGCAACTAATCTTATTAATTTCTAAAAATAATTTCCAGTTTTTAAAAAGATGGACCTAAAATAGTCTCAATGGTCAGACACAAGTATTATTGTTTATGGTCAAATCACTCCACTTCACCATATCCAAACCCTCTGTGTTTCCCTTTCTCTACAGACTAACCCTTAAGGTACAGTAACTCAGCAACAAAAGTACAGTGTGGGCCATGAAATGCAGTCCAGTAAAATATTTTGATAAACTACTTCCACTTTTGATTCCACTCGAATCCAATCTACCATCATGACTGGGTTAGGTCTGTTTTGATAATGTTGCAGTTGGGCACATAGAAGAATATGAAAATGAAATGTAAGTATGTATATATTTCAATAGAGTATCTTATGTATAGTTTGAGTACATAAATAGAACATATCAAATATTTGTGGGTAAATGCAATAAATATGGGAGGCGTTATTGATGCATAAGAAACACATATTCAACAAGGAATCTGTTTTAGAGCTTCGTTAATGATCTATTCAATACACTGTGTCTCCCCAAACACACCGTTTACAAGCTAAGGTTTCGGTGAAGCATTTTGTGAATTGCAGTATGGAGACTGTTTGAACACTAGATGGCATGATTGCAAAGTTAGATTTGGTGTGGAAGTCGTGAAGGATGAGACTGCAGGATCATTCTTTCTCTACCAGCAATTTTCTTAGCACCAAAGCTGCAGTGCTGTTCCAAGGATAGGAACATCTGAACTGTGACTCAATGTGGGAGAAGTGGAGATGAGTGATTATGTTATTCCTTCCCTGAAGTGATACATTGCATTAGCTTTCCAGTGGTAGAGCACACATGGACACAGTCAATTATATGGAGATGGTAAAGAAAAAAATGGCCAAATGTCTTTTCTTTTTTATTTTTCAATTAACAAAGGATATTAGATCTTTTTCTTAAAGACTAAAACTTAAAATTTTATGACTTTTCTTTGGAGGGGGGTACTCATTAAATTTAATCCACCTAGTAGAAATAGAGACTTCTGCATTTTTCTGTCATTCTCATTTTTGGCTTTGTCTTTTCTCACGGAACGGAAGAAAACAATCACTTATGGACAGAATCCAACATGTTTTTCCTGTGCTGATTCACCTCAAGAGGCTTGTGGTCAATCTGCCTCAATTGCTAATAGACTACTCAAATCTGTCTTTCTCTACAAAATAGCAGCCTTCTGCATCTGATTCTCCAGTCTGATCTCTGTTATTGAAAATCACTATTTTGCCAATTAACATTTCCTTTAATATGTGGAACCAGTTAATTAGATACCAATATTAAGTGTCAATTGTCCAATGTACAAAGAAGTGCCATTTTTGCTTCAGAAATCTCAATCTCCACCAGGTGTAGTGGTTCATTGTGGCAAAAGTCTGTGTGCAGTGGAAAATAAAAATCCCTTATGTGATTAATAGCAACACATCAGGCCCTCACTGCAGTAGAACGAACAAGTTCTATTATCAATTCCTACTGATGTCCCTCAGTAGGGCCTTGCACAGACAGAAATTCTTCCTGGCTAATCATTCATATGTGAGGTACTTTAGAGTCACATAGAGGAAGTACTCCTCCTCCTCTTTTGGTAGGAGTTCAAAAACCATTGGTTAGCATGTCACTATACAGCCTCAAGTTTGTTTGTTTTGTCTGGTAGTATAATCTGTTCACCAATTATGATAAATAATCATGTATATTATATCCAATGATAGCAAAAAGACAGAGAGAGATAGGGTCAAAGATCCTGAGTGAAAGGAGTTTGGTGACAAACGTTCCTTAATTCATCAATGAGTGCATTTCATTTGCATTGTATCACTTGAACTTCACTTCTGAATCCTGTTTCTTTGCATGCAGTCCTTGGGTTTTTTTCAAACTTTAAGGGAAACTTTTCTCAGGCTTTCTATGGTTAACCCAATTGTATTTTTTCTCAGTCATCTTTTGGTTATTCAAGAAATGATCATTCACTCACCAGACAGTTACTGAGCATGTATGTGTACACTGCCTCAAACTACATGTTAGTGGAAGAGAAATTAACAATGTAGGCTCTTTTGCTCTCCCTTGGGCTTACATATCTGACTGGTCACCAACACGACTCCGTACCATGCCTCATTTTTTCCACTTCACAATACTTTATATTCTCACTGCTGAGTCCCTGCCAGGTGTGTGATTTTAAAGAACATTCTTTATGCTTCCTGGAAATTACTCGCACTATTCAAAATCTATGCACAATATAGGCCTCTTATTAATCTGAAAAGGGATAAAGAATCTGACAAGAATCCCTCCTTGCTCATCTGCTCATCCTCTAAGCTCATTCTTTCTTCCCTAATAAACATACTCATACACACTGATAAATTCAAATGCCATGATAATTACAAGTGTAATACTACACAAACAAAACCTTGTGATATTTAAGCCTTAAAATTATAAATGGGAATTTTTCACTCTGATAACTAGGCACAGAATGCAGTATAATCAATCCCTTGATTTAATTCAGAATGAATTTCCAATGAACCCGTACAAAAAGATATTAAAGATATTGTGAAGTTATCTGCAACAAGCACAATGAGAGGACCTAAAATTCCGTTTGAATTAAGAAGAAAATAATGTCATATACACCAGACTCCAGGGAGAACATAAACGAGACTGAACACACTGGCAGCACCGGAAAGAAACTTCCCCAAGCTGTCTTGCTTAAGCAGTAGTCTGCTCTGCCACTGAGTTCACAAGACGTAGAAAAGCTAATCCAAAGTTATATAAAGAGCTCCAAACTAAGCTAAACATCTATTTTTAAAAGTCTGCTTTTGTTCAAACTTATTTTTTTATGTGTCTGTCAAAGCTGGTGTACTCTTTGGCAGAGAAACTTGAATCTGGTTAAACTGGCTCAGCTTCTGGTACAGTTATGTAAGTGTTGCCTCTGAATTATAGACACAACCAAAAGACTGTTTCACCTCCAGGCAAAGTCCTGGAATGCTTGTCCCACTTCACTTCTTTTGTTTTAAACATTCTGATGGCAGAGAATTGCAGCATGACCCTTGCTACATGACTGAACCACGTTCTCCCCAAATCCACACGTGGAAGCCCTAAATTCCTAATGTGATAACATTTATAGATGGGGCCATTGGGAGGTGATTAAGGTTAGATGAGATCATGAGGATGGGGCCCTGATCTGACAGGATTTGGCATCCTTATAAAGAGAACCTAGGCCTGG